AGACAGCTCAGCCCATTTACCAGCTCAAGGGTATTTCACGGAGACCCCACACAGGCAGAAAAGGAAAAGGGCACCTGGGAGGGGAAAAGGGTGGCCTACAACCATCACACCGCTCAGGGCTGCAAGACTGGCCAAAAGGATTTTTTTTTTTTTTTGCTTGAAGGGCATGTAACCCAAATGATTTGTATTCATACTGTGGGCAGAGGCACAGGCACCATCCCGTGGGGCTGGTCGGCACAGGTAGGAGAGCCGGGGAGGTTGGGCACCAGCAGGACCAGAAACCCTGCAAATCTGCCCCGGAAAGCTCCGATGCTGGCCCCACAACACAGCCCCAGGGGACACAGCGTGTGCCGAGCCTGTGCTGTCACCTCGCCACAAGCAGATCAGTCTCAGAGGGAAATTTTAAGCTCCAACACTTCTCTTAAAACCTTTGCAGGGTTGGGAGCCTGGCAGAGCACGGACACCACCCCAGGTGCTCCCGGCCTTCGGCGTCAGTCTGGGCTGTGAGCAAGTCCTCACCCAGCACCGCTTGGCCAGGAACAACCCAGAGGCTGAAGGTTAAATCCTTGGTCCCACCGACGCTTCGCAGATGGCGATCCCATATAGGCCTAGTGGGGCAAAAGGATTTCAGGCCATTTGGGTCAAACCAAGCTGTATAAAAGAAGCATTTTGTTTTACGGTGACACACAGGTTTTATTCAACTCAAAACAAACCAGGTTGTTTCATTCCTGGTTAATAAATACAGGTAAAAAAATATTTCATTTCTCTTTTTAACTCAACTTTTGAGTTGAATGGTGATAACACCATTCAAAAATGAGCTACTTTTCAAGAATTCCCTCCTTTCTCTTCATCTCTGAAGAGACTACACAGCAAAACTGACCTCATCTGAGTCCCAAATGTCATTTTTCACTGATGTGCCAAAATCCTCATCAGCAAGATGCTTATGGACTTCCCCAGGGCCAAGCAACTCCCTGGGGCTCTAAGCCCCCCAGCAAGCCCTGGGGGATGCGGGACCTGCTCACTGGGCTGCAGCAGGACGCAGAGGACAGCAGCAGGAACTGGCAGCCCTGGCTTACAGCCTCCACATATCCATTAGCACCATCCTCACTGCTAATTGGGATGCAATTCCCATCATTGCACCCTGAGGACAGTTTGGATCCTAGCCAAGAAACCCATCCTATTCAGCATGGGCTTAAATTCAAGCGTATTAAAGGCACACCTCAAGTCAAGTATGAGCTGCGTGCTGTACAAAACAACAGCAGATTTAAGCATGTGCTGTGGCACAGCCTTGAACCAGAGTCGTGGTGCTCAGAATTCAAATCTTCACGTTGGAAAATGTCATCTTCCACAAAACCAGGGGTCTGCTGACCTGAGAGTTTCACAGTGGGATTTAAGGGTCTGCGAGCGTCAGTGCAATGCCCGTGAATGACACAGGCAGCTCGCCCACAGGTCCTCCCCTGAGCAGTGCAGTGCACACCCCGCTCCAAACCCTGCCGGAGACCCCGGGAACTTGGTAACCCACCAGCCAGAAGTCCTGTCACTCAGCTGTTGCCTTACCTTGCAGCATGGCAGAGGTGGTGTAGTAGTTCAACGGGACCTTCTTCACCACATACGCATCCGTGTCCAGCGAGGAGAGCTTGTCCCCCACCAGCACAGACTTCCCCGTGCCGGCATTGCCCACCAGCATCACCGGGCGCTGGCGCTCCAGGAGCCTGTTCATGAAGTACCGCACACGGACCGTCTCAGTGGTGGGCACCAGGCAAGCCTGAGAGGGACATAATGAGCGGGTAAGTGTCCCCATCCCTGCCAGAACCCCACAGCCATGTTCTGGGGAAAAGGAAAATTGAGAGAGCCAGGAATGAGTGAGGTGACCCCAGTTTCTAGATTGCCCTAGGAAGGGAATGATACAATACGCTGCTGCCAACCATTAAAATCAAACTGTCTGTGCAGTTGAAATCTTGTCAGCTGGATGCTGGGAGCAGCATCTGGATCCCCCCCCCCAAACACACATTTTGCTAAAACAGTAACAATTCTTACATGTCATCTGCTCACTGTGGCGCTTCTAAAAGGAAAGCAAAGCATAGCTGGCAATCGCAGTTCACTACCTGCTCTCATTTTTTGTCCAAATCATAAAAGCCTCTCTGTTTTCAGCCATGCAGAATGACGACACGGTGTCTCGGGGGCTTTGTCACTACATTATCTCACATCCCGCTTCTCTCCGCGGGCCAGAAGCACCCGCCATCCTGCACCCTGGGCACACCAGCTCCTGCGTCACAGGGGTGGCTCTGAGCCTGCCACTCACGTACATCACTCATATTTGGAAGATGGATGGACGATGTGTCTTCACAGTCAAAGCACAGTAAAGAACGGTGGGTGATTTAGTTGTACCTGACAAAGAATGCCATCCTTATTATGAAGTGCTTGACCTTTAATGAGACTTCATTGAAATGCCTACGTACAGCCACTAAAATGCATGTATTCCTCCCAGACAAAAAGCATGCAATGTTCACCTACCTGTAATGGCATTTCTGGATCAAATTCAAACTGGGGAATAAGTTTAGACCAAGGCTCAAACTTTTTCGTTTCTGGATCAATGTAAAAGTCAAAGACTGTGCCCTGAGAAGGAAACTTGATAGTCTTGAATTCTGCCACCCACCACTTGCTGAACTCCACTCTGTAGTCCACAAGCTGCAAGACAAAAAATGGAGAAAATATGCTAATCTGGAGAAATTCATTAGTGATGGAGAATGTTATCTATCCCAGTCCACCAGAGTGGGGTCTGGTCCTTTAAAATATATTCCACAGCATAACAATCTTATCATTTTTCCTATTATTAAGCCTAATTTTTCATTTTCTTAATTTCTTCTCATCATTCCTATTTATTCACCTAAATAATTCATCCTCTGTGTTGATCACTCTTGGTGTGTCTGAGATTAGATAGATGGATCAATCTGAAAAAGAGAAATACGTGCCTATGACTAAACAGACCGCTTGATTGATTCTTGGTGCTTACTTCTTCCAACAGACAAGGACACAACATCCGTCTACATCTGTGGTCATAGTTAGTCAAAGCATGCATACTAAAGCCCTTCCTCATAAATCACACCGCTCTATTAATACTTAGTTGTTGTCTTCCGGCCTCTTTTCAAGTCACAAGGTTTTGGAGAAGCAGGATTGCAGACACCAGCGTACCGAAGCACCAGAGAGGGACCGTGTCCCTTTGGCTGTGCTGTGTTTCTGTGCTGCCCCGGAAGAACCTATTCTCTTGTCTTTCCCCATTATAACTTTCTATGTATGGAGATTTTGGAGCACCTCATTTTTTTCAAGAGCCGGGGTGACGGTTTTGCTTTAGATGCTGGGTCAGGACTTGCAAAATGTGCTTAGTCCCCTCCCCTGCCACAGGTCTTCTGTACGGCATGGGGCAGTCACTCTGCCTGAGCACCTTCCCATGTAGACAACGGGGACTACAGCCATCAGCCCTGGGGAGAAATGGGTGGCGGAAGGAAGGGAAAAGCACTGTTAAAAAGATGTCTGTGAAATACCAGGTGCATAATCTAGCCAGTTTTAACAGCACAGTTTCTTCCCGGGGCATCTGCTGGTCTCTCCTCCCCATGGCCATTTGACAGGCTTTCCTGGGCTGGAAGCCCAGGTGGGACCACTGACACATTGCCCAAAGGCTGCTCAGCCTCCGTCAGGAAGCCTGGGTTTGAAGCTGAACTGAACCGAGCATCCTCTGTAAAGCCGCCTGAGCCACCATCCGTCACACGACCAGAGGATTTGAAAAACACGTTATGAGTATCCACAATTTTTCAGTCTCGTGCTATTCAGAGAGGCAGAATAACTGTAATTCTCCATTCTCTTGTTGTTGTAACTCCCCGGCGCCAGCAGCAGAGCAGCCTGCAGCAGAGGGGGACGGGCACGGCTGCTAAAAGCTTTCCCACAAGGGTGCCCTTACCCCCGCGC